CTGGATAAATATGAAAATAAATTAAATGAATGGATTAAAGAATTTGAAAGAGATTTACAGGTAATAGAAATTCTAAAACAAGATTGATTTTACAAATGTGTGCTTAGTTATCTTTATTTAATTTATAACTTTACACATTAGGAATCTCAAGCAGAAGACAATGGAGATGATGAGAGTAATGATGAGAGTAATGATGAAAATGGCAGTGATGATGATGATGATGATGATGATGATGATGATGAGAACGGCAGTGATGATGAGAACAGCAATGATGATGATGAGAGCAACAGTAACAATAACAGTAGCAGCAGTAGCAGCAATACTAGAAAAGAATATGGAGTTCATCATATTTTACGTGAAAAAGCAAGAAAAAACCTTGAAACTTACACCAACAATATGAAAAAACAGATGACTAAGAATAACAAAAGAAAAAAAGAATATAGTGTTGGTGAATGCGTAAAAATATCAATACCTAAAAAGGATAGAAATTCAGCAGACAGAATTTTTGTATTTTGCAAAATAATAACGATTTTAGATAATGACATGTTTCAACTATCATGTCAATTTGGAATAATTGAAACGTGTTACTCATCTGCTGAATTGGAACCATTGGAAAATCAAGATGTACCTGGACTTAACAATTCACTTACAAACAAAATTTCACTTAGAGAAGCTGCTCGTATGCAAAGTGTTTTTAATGAAAGTAATGATAACAATGATATTTGTATTTGTAATTGCAAAAAAGGGTGTAGAAGTAAGATTTGCCCATGCAAAAAGAAAAATTTAAATTGCACTACTCGCTGCCATTCTGGCAAATCATGTTTTAATAGAATTGTGTAATTTTTATATTTTTGTCATAATAGTTTTCTTCTATATTATAATTACATTTGAGAAATATATTGTGATCAGGTTTTGTGTTAAGTTTATAGATTAGAGAATATTTTATTTATTAATCCTTAAAATTGTTGAATAAAAGCATTATTATTTATGGAATAAAATGTAAAGGAGAATTTTAAAAACTTTGTTTATAATAAATCATACCTTTATTTATTTTTAAAATAAATGATTCTGCTATAAAAAACATACCTAAACGAATTTTTATTTGCAATTGACTAAACCCGACATATAAGTATATAAGGCAACATTTGACTTTTGAGAGTCAATTAGACTATTTTCAGTTTTATTAAAGACTTGCTTTACTTTTTCTTGAAAATTTTGAAACAATTGCTGTAATTTTTTACAGCTATGTGAGTTTCATATATTGCAAAACAATATGGTTGGCATGTGAATTTTCCAATTCATGATTTCAAAATGTATGTGAGTTTGAAATCCATGTAAATTTAAAATTGACATGAATTTTGGGGTATTTAAAATCCACATGCCAAATTTTATTATAAAATTTTTTTCACATATGTGAAAATTGAATTTCAATTTCACATATGTGAATTTCAAATTCACATAATTTCAATTTCACGTACAACAGTGACAAACAGAACTAAACAAAAGTGTCGTTGGAGCAAAAGAAAAATAGATTTATTTAAATCACCACCTATTTTTCTTGTAATTCTTTCAAAAATCTACCCATATGATAATAATGTTTTTTTTTCTTCAATCGACCTGTTACTATCTCGTAATTGTTTGCTAGAATTTCAGAGAGTGCGACGGTCCGACTGGTTTTATTTCTTCATTTGACGTGAATTCTCAAATACAACTCTCAGTTGTGGTCCACTATGATGCTACAAAAAATCATTATGTTAAAAAATCAAAGTTCATCAAAAAAGTAGTCGGAAACCCTTTCATTATGTGTTTCTTTCTCATATTACTACGTGCATATATGATCTGTAATAAAAATAACTTTATTGTTTTCAATTTAAAAGTAATTTTTATAATCCAATAATATAATATAATATAATATAATATAATATAATATAATATAATTATAATACATGATAATACATTTAGAAAAATACAACAATGATCATTTATGATTTGTTAAATTCGTTTGTTTCAAATATAAGTTTTTATTTAGCATGGTTGCACCCATCGACATTTTGAATGGATAGATTGTCCTGGAATTTTTGAATGGTCAGATTGTCCTGTGATTGTTCGGTATTTTTTTCTTTCAAGCAGCAACTACAACCTCTACAGATACAGCCACCTGTACACCAACAGCTGCAAGCGCACCCGCCGAGACACCGATAGGAACATGTACATGCTTCGAAAACATTTTTCTGAACACACATTTCGCCACTTTCATTTTCGTTAGTCCAAGAGGTGCACACAGCGTTGTTAATGGGAGATGCTTGAATTATTGATGGAGAAAAAATGAAGAGAAAGGCGAAAAAAGTAAAAACAGTGACCTTGAGAAAATGCATTTTTGATTTTAGAAAAAATTTATCGAGTTGTTTAAGGTAGATAATTAAAAAATAAACATCTATGTTGAAAAAAAGTTTATTTATATACAACTCTTATCTCTATTGATACAAACGAATTGCTTTTTTAGTCATCCTAAATAAAAACAAAGGTGTCTACTGATATGAATACAGGTTTGTAGGTACGAGGCCCCAACTGTGTGTTATTAAAAAAGTTCTCATCTAATTATTATTAAGTCTATGCTACGGTTATGTAGTACAATCAATTAATTGAAAAATAATATTAAATATTTAATATTAATATTGTCATTGATGTATTTCTGCAATAAACCTGTTTTTTTACTTTATTGCTTCCTGTAATGGAAATCATATATAACATTACTCGTTACCCGATTTGGAAAGTTCCTTTCTGTTATTATTTTTATTATTTCCAAATTTGTTAAAAACTTGATTTTTTTGAAGATCATATCTGCAAAAATCGTTAGACAATAATTTATCGAAGAATTATACTTTATAAAATCAGGCCTTGATTCTGATTACAACTACAATTATTAAATTTATTCTTTGTGATTTACCTGTAATTTACCTGTAAATTTGTTTAACGTAATTCATATGATCATGATTGTGTATTTAATCATCTTACAACTGATCATCTGAAATTTGATAATAAATGCATATTAATAATATCGATCAAAGATAACAAACATGTCATCTATTAATTAATATTCGTCCGACCTCTTTCTCGGCTAACTAGCCAATAGCTTTTTCCTGGGGAAAGTAACGGACTGCAGATTGTTGACTTTTAAATTCGATTACAAATTCTTGTTAATAGAAAAGAAGAATTGCCGCTTTGAGGTAAACTTTCTATTAGACTATATTGAATAATTATCTTTGCGCTTACTGTTTACTTGACCTTTTACGAGAGTCGAGAGCTTTGTGAATATACATTATTTAATAAAACATCGTGACTATAAAAGTCAAGGTACATACAATAGAAAGATTTTCTATTATGAATTTTTTCTCTAATAAGCTCAGTTCAAACGAAGCAAGGAATTTGGAAAATACATGAATAACAACGGTTTACAATAGACATCATGGCAGTAATGCTATTTCATCGTGCAGAGTCTATAAGAGGGCGAACGTTTATTATTACGCTGCTGGTTGAGAGACACCTTACAAAGTTATAGAGTTCAACGTGATATAAAATGTAAATATATTGAATGATAAGAAGTGGAAATAATAAAAAAATTAAAAGGTTTACAAATATAGTTTAATTATTGATTGAGAAACAAGTTTCAATAATATTGGGCGTAAATGTAACAATAAATTAGTTTTATAAAATAATTGTAAAAGAGAGCTGACGTTAACAACACAACAGCAGAAATAAATGAATAAATTTTCGAATTGGTTGTCATGAAGACTTCCATCTAATGAATGCTATATATTAAACATCATAGTTTGTTTACAATGCATCTTTTTCAACGAGTGACTCGGAAAATCTTTGTTGTTGATAACTAGTGAAGAAATAAGAACTTGGCAAAGTTCAGAAAACAAAGAATTAGCCAAATTAATCGAAAAAACTTGATTAATTAAAGTGTAAATTATACACAAAGTACAACCAAACTAAAAATAAAGTTTATGGGAAATTTCTATTCAATGAATCTAATTTCCATTACCCCTTTTGTGTAAAGAAAATTGAGTATTCAAATAGCAATATATATATATTTTTTTAGGAATAAATATTAGAGATTTTTTATTGTATTAAAGCAAGCATCCCAATCAATCCAAGCATAAGCATAAAAGTTGTTCATAAAATCATGCACCTTTCACGTTAAAAAATCACACTATAAATATCCATTTCAATAACTCTACTATAAATATATATCTTATTTAAAAAAACCATCTTTAACAAAATGCTTACCTTTGCCACCAAATTCTTTTTGAATTGTTATTTGGAATATTTTTTGGCTTTTTTACATTACAAAATTTATAAAAAATCAGCTCTAGGGGTTGAATCCGTTTAAAAAAACAAAAAAACCTTGCCTGGGTCACATGCAGTGTTGTGGCCAGAAACTCTTTTGACTTCCCCGAAACGTTTCGGAAAATGAACTTACATTAAGCAGAAAACTAAAACTAAACCTCATAAACTAATAACATAAACTAGTTTCTGTTAGTTTCTGTTTCGGGTCCTCCCTAAACTCAGAGTTTCAGGTCACAACACTGGTCACATGTCAAATAGTAATAGGCTTGCGGGTCACCCGGGTGATAAACAGATTTGTCTATATATAGATTTAAATTTACACGAACGATATTCTTTTAAGGGTAGATTTCGATTATACAGTACATCATATGGCAAAAAATCACAAGACCCCTTGAACAAATAAACCTTCTTGTAAAATTGCGAAACTTAAACGAACTTTGTATACATAATCTCTAGGATTAAAGCTATTGAATAGTGTGCTTTTGATAACTTTCGTTAGTAAGTTTTACTGAAAGGTAATATGAAGTTCAACATGTGTTGCAAATTCTATAAGTAAAGTTATGAATTCTTGTCCTCTACTATACGGTTTTGTTAAATTAGGGAAGATTAAATGAACAGTCTTTAAATTAACCTTAATAACTATCGATTTATAAAAAAAAAACTAGAGTTTTATAAGAAGACAAAGTTGTACTAATAATGTTTTATCTTTATATTATATATATATATATATATATATATAGAAATGAGACTACCTTGGCATGAATCATTACTAACTTTTAACATCAACTACAAATTCTTTTCACGAGCAAACAATTTAGTAAGAAACGTTTTTTTGGAATGGTTAGATATTCAAGTAATTATTCATGCAAGCTTTCATTATCTATATATATTTGCAATGTATTATTAATTTTTTAATTCACGCCTAGATTAACTTATGGTCGGAGGTCGAGAATGTCACCCACCAACTTGTTGACTCTCATTAATTAATTCATTAATTAACTTATTCATTCACCTAAGCTCAAGACCTTGGACATATCAAATATTTATGTGGCTTATGTGATTTGTAAGACATAAAAGTAAGAAAAGTATTACTTTATTATTGATTTGTCAATTGTATAAAAAAGCACTTATCTATTATTCCTGAAATATTAAAATATAGATCATGGAAAAGTAATACATTAGTGAATTATTAATAAAAATATCATTAAACTTGGACAACTACAATTCTGGGGCGCGCCATCAAATACCGCTGATCCCAAAATAGCAATGATACACTGGTGTCACGGATTATAAAATCACATGACTCAATCATTTTCATGAATATAACGAATAATTCGAATAAATGAATAAAGCAAATATATTTTTTTCAGCCGTTACAATTGTTTATTCATTGATTATTAAATATTAAATACATAGTATGTTTTGTTACCTAATTTGTAAATAAACTATTTTCATACCACTTCTTTTTTTTTCTTGATGGTGTTTCAGAACTTCCATACCGCTGAATTTCACTTTTCACAGATGAAACTGTAAACCAAGAAATTTAGTAATTTCTTTTCTTGTATAGCCACCTTTGAAAAGACCAATAATTTATGATCTTTCAGATACAGCAATCTCGCGGTTCTTTACCATGTTTCGATCAACATAACAGAACCAGAACCAGATGTAAAAATCACAAATTTTATTTTGCAAAAAAATTTTTGGGCTCAACCTTTTTTTGTCCACCTAGTGTATAATAATAAAAAAATAACCTTTTATTTTCTTGATTTTTTTAAACAAATTGCTGGATTTATTAAAATATGCTAATTCCGTATTAAATATATATTAGATATTAATAATGACAAAAGTTTTATTAAATATTATTAATTAATAAATTATAAAATTATAAAATTATACATTATATAAAATTGATAAATTATAAAATTATAAAATTATACATTATACAAAATTGTTAAATTTTAATCTTTAATAATCTATAACCAATTACAACTCAACCATATTAATAATTAACCTGTGGTATGATTATGAGCATCTTCGACTCCAATCTCATCATAGTCATCTTCCTCCGCATAATCATATTCAAATATTGGTTTCATATCATTAACAGATAAATTGTCGTGCGATAGTGATCTTAATTTATTATTACCATTAGCTTTTCTATTACCATTAATATTGTTATCATTATCAGTATTGTTATTATTATTGCCATTACTATTATCATTACTACTGCTATAATTTGTGGATGTCGTGTTACTTGAAGTTCTTGAGAGTGGCAAACTTGTAGACGATAAATTATTATCCGCTAAAATAATAACAACAATAACAACAACAATAATAATGATCAATAATCAACTAATAATGATCAATACTAGTAATCCATTCCATAATAATAAATAACCAGTAATCTATCTGTAATAATAATTTTAATATTTACATTGTGCCGATATAGAAAGTTTTGGAAGATCACTGTCAAGTATTAATGATATTAAATTATTAATCTTAATTAAAGTTATTATTAATATATATATATATATATATATATATATCTTACTTGATTTTATTATCTTTATTTTCTTTGGATTCAAATAATGAAATTGCTCTTCTTCTTGTCTTTGTATTGCTTGATAATGATTGTGAGATCTTTAATATATATTATATTAGGGTTATTATTACTGTTACTACTAATATTACACATATTTAATAATAATACAAACCTTTTGTCTTAACGTAGAAATTTCTAAATCTCCACTTTCTACTTGAGATTTAAGATTTGTTATTACATTTTTTAACGTGTCAATCTCATTTTGTAAAGCTTTTCTATTCGACCTATCCAGATTAAAACATAATAAACTTGGAAGTGCTTAATAGCAATAACAAATAGATTATTGTTGTTTTAACTGTTAAAGACATTTATTAATCAAACAAATCTAATATTATCATCATTCAACAATATTAATACTTGTATAATGTTATATTCAAGGATACGCATGTGTTGAAATATAGTGTTTAAAAAATTACTCAACGATATGGTAAATGTGTCAAGCCATTGTCTAGTGAAAAATGTTTTAAAATTTGGATCTGACTCTGGATTTTTTGAGAATGGTAATCCTGTATGTGTGTATATAATTAAAGAAAAATATATATTAAACAATTTATTTACTTAATAATTATTTAATTTTTTTTTTTTTTTTCATCATTAGCAAAAAAATTTTATTGTTTAAAATTTTTTTACCAAACCATTTTGCCCATTCGTTACTTTCATTCAATTCAGCACCAAGTATTTCAAAAAATTCCAACACTTTATCTTTTCTTTTTTGTTGTGTTGCTAAAATAAATAAACAAATAATAATAATATTTTTTAAAATATAAGTATATAAGTGTATCATGTATGTGTATGTAATGTGTATATATATCTATATATTAAATTTACCATAAACAAGATAATATCTTAATAAACTTAATTCAAACTTCTTTACGCTTGCAAAAAATCTAGAGTCTAATCTAGAAAAATATCTCAGATTAAGATATTTCCAATTATCCATCAATCCATTTATATCACTACTTGTCACATATGTATATAATTCATCGACAATTTTCTCTGCCTGTAAAAAAAATTTAATAATAATTCATAAATTATTCCATTCATTCAGTCTACAAGGAAAAAAAGAGTTTAACAAATCATTCTTTACCTGAAATCCTTTATCGTTTTTAATTTCCATCTCAAATGCTCTAATTGCATTTGTAAATCCTCTAAACTAAGCAAGTAAATTATTCATTAATATGCTCATACACACATATATATTACTATTTATTTTTCATAACTCTTCATTTAATAAATACTCACCATTAAATATTCTTTTTACAAGCTCATCGATTTGATCGAGAGAATTCATTTTAAAATTTTCTCTTTTTTTATTATTTTGAGTGTAAAAAAGGAAAGTTTTATTTATTTATGTAATATGGAGATTATCATTTATTTTGGAAACTGATCTAACAAAAATTTAGGATTTTGATCAAACATTCGTTTGTATGACAAAACACAAACATTAAACATTGAATATTCAGGGATGACGGCAATAAACTTATGCATACAATTAATTAATTATTTGATTTTTTTTTATGAGCTTCACTTTTGCAATGATTGTCAACAATGGCTCCACTCAATAGAATGATCACAAAAAGTATCCCATTATCTGTTCTAAATACTTTTGGATGTTCTTTTTTTTTATATATAAAAATGCGGCAATTTTGGTTAATCATACATTTCATTTGACTATGCAGAATGCATAAAATCATCGTTCTTGTTGGGGATGCACAAAACCTTATTAAATATGTATATTGTACTACTACTCTATAGTAATAGTATGAATATTATCTATCAACTCTACAAAGACATCATATAAAAAGAAAAAGCGTGTTAAATTTGTATTTTTTGATCTTTTGGCATGTACGGACAAATTTTTTTGTTAGAGTTGATATTTAGATAAGATATTATGTCTTGCTCGTTCAGGGAAAGAAAGAGAAACATGTATTATATATTTATTTTTATATAACTGATAAGTATCGATATAAAAGAGAACAACGATGATTCAATTTTATCATTAGTAAAATTCTTACTGCGTCGAAACCTTAAAACCATTTTCGCATTTTTCACGATCAACCCAACAACAATAATAATTAATAATCAATGCAACTCTTTTGAATTATCTAAATAGTTTCGGGAAAAGAACTCACCTAAATTCTAAATTTAGGTTTCGACAATATTTAGGGTTTTATTTTTCCCTAAATTAGTTTCGGGTCACAACATTAATGATGATAATGCTACGATCAAAACGAAATTTTAAACTTGTCCTCTCACATGTGTGTACATAAGATTTTATTTGATAAATTATTTCATATTTTTAAAAGTCTATATACAAGTAAAATAAAATTTCAAACTTTAAATTGTTCTTGCCAAGTTTTTCCTTTAATATAAACCAACACTAAAAGTAAAATACTGGCAAAACATATTCCACTCAAGAGAGTAAACATCAACCCAGTTCCTAATTGTTTTTCCATTAGAGATGACGAAATTGATAAAGTGCCAGCCGCCATCATGCGTACAAAATTGTTCAATGCTATGATTGATGCACTCTGACCTGTGAAAACATCAACCAGATAGGTTGACATCGAGTTATAAATTACTTGGGTACCGAATGATGCTATATATAATACATGTGTTATTAATAATTATAATATCTAATATAAATAATTAACATATATATAATATACACATAAGACATACCAAAAAACCAAGCAATCAATGGGCCAGCCATATGAACTTCTTTTTCAACCAACCAACCATAAATCAAATAAGAAGTTGGTACTAATACAGCACTAATCCAAGCACTATGAATTCTTGATTTTGGATTAGTAATCCCATTTTTCTTTCTTGCTTGTTTCATCACAAAATCTGAATATCTACCACCAATAAAACTGCCAACCATGAATCCAAAACCAGGCACAAAGAATAACAAACCGACTTGTGATGATGTCAGATGATATCTGATGGTGAAGTTGACAGGCACACTAACAAATTGAAGTTGGATTATTGATGACACAATGCTAATGTAAATGATCATCAAAGTTCCACCTGGATAACGTAACAATTTAAGCGGCGTGAGTGGATTAAATCGATGTCTTACTTCAGGTGTGGATATTGAAGGATTCTGAGAAAAAAATGTTTCAGGAACAAAGATTTTCACAAGTAATAAATTTATTCCACCCAAAATTGTTAGAAACCAAAAAATCCATCTCCAATTAGTATATTCAGTAAAGTAGCCTCC